AAAGATGAAACAAAACTAAGGGAAAATATTAGAAACGTTACCTGAACTGATACACCATTTTAATTTTGTCACATTAACAAACAATTTAAGAGAGAGACGTCATCTCCACTTTTGAAAATCCATGATTTGGCATGTAGCACTAACTCCATGATTTGAATGATTTTATGTGTTTATGGTTTTACTTATTTATTTTAAAATTAGTATTAAATTACTGAAATACCCTCGGATGTAGAGAAAATGTGCATGGCACATGACAAATTTTAACAGAATTTCGGATGAAATTAGTTCCACATAACAAGTCATGAATTATTAAAAAATAAAATGACATCTCTCTTAAATTATTGGTAGTATTATTAAGAATAAAGGGTGTTTACTGTTCGAAAATTCAAAATCTAATTGGAATTATTATGACTTTTTAATTCCTGATGAGTTGAGCGGGAGCTTATAGCTTTTCTATCTAGGAATCAATCCTCATCATTAGAAGCTCTAGATTAGAATGGGCTAGAGCCAAAAATTTGGCGGGTTTCAACTTGCATCCAAGCGTCTACAACGGGGCAATGACTTATGGCGATGTCGTGTCAGAAATGGCATCCAAGAGTCGTCATTTTTCCTTCTAGAAAAAACACATTTTGCTTTTGGTTTGGTATACAAGCTATGTGCTTCTTCGACCGGAAAGAAAAAAGCTATGTGCTAAAATAATGCCAAAATTCCAAGTTGACGTTGTCTTCCATACACTTCACCCTCAGATGAAAGCAACAAAACAATCAGCCAATTAGAGGTTGATATTCTAATAATACCATTCTTGATTACTTGCTCCAATGACCATTTATAACTCTTTATTTCCGGCACAAGATATTGTTGACCACATATAGATACTTTGTGTGTGGATATTATCGTGCGAATGTCATTGTAATTCGAGAGGAAAGCAGGGAGAGGTAATAAGAAATACATTGACGTCCACATAATAATAACATACAAACATCCGCACAAGAAAAATTATGTATATATATAATATAATAATATGGATGAGGACAAAGTCCCACTAATTTTAGAATAATAGGCCAAGATATTTGATTAATGGCTTGACCTTGAGTTGGTTCCAAAAGGAAAAGGAAAAAAATATACTTGACCTGAAAAATGCTTGTCCTTGAGTGTGCAACCATACATAATATATGTAAACTGAAAAAAAAAAACGCACATAATATGTCATGTACATTATTTTAAAAGTCTTCATTTTCATATTACCAATAAGATGGGTACAAAATAATTGCTACTTGAGTGCAATTATAATGGGGCTTTCCCCAAATTAAGCATTTAAAATGGGAATTGGAATTTTAAATTGAGAGGCTAGCCGTTGTATTTGTAATTTTTTATTCAGGATGCCTTGTTGATCGGGGTCAGGTTCTTTTCCTCCCAGTTTACAGTACTACTTAAGCTTTCAATAAATTACCTTCTAAGTTTTGGGAATTATTTTTGTTTATCATTTTAACTCAAAGTATATGCTTATATTCCTTCTTAATACTTTAAATGTATCCATAAATATAAACATGATTAATTTTTACTTTAATTTATATAACCATAGTTATACTTATGAACACGTATTAAGTGTTGAGAATAATAGTGAGTATACGCTTTAAATTAAAGTAGTGAACAAATATGTTCATGAAGTTTCGAGGTTTATTTAAAAAAACAAAACTACAAATATATAGCATTGATGATGTCATGTCACATTATTTATTTATTTATTTCTTAAAGATAAAAGTTATTATTACATTCCCATTGACAAAAAGTCAAAATCCAATTTTACCATCAAATACAAACAAAACAATCCAAAAACAAAACTTAAACTCTAAACAAAAAGTTAAAAAACATACCACACCCGAAAATTAAAAACCGCCACCGCAGCCACCGCCACCGCAGCCACCGCCACCACATCCACCACCGCCATCAGATACTATATCTCCGATCAACATCCCACCAAGCATCCCTCCTAACAATCCAGCCCCCAGCCCCATCCCAAACTTATTCTTCTTCTTCTCTTGGACCGGGGGTTGCTGCACCGGAGGGTATCCATACCCCGGCGGCGGAGGCGGGGGCGCCCCCCCGCGGGGGG